CCATTCAATTTCACATAGCCTTGCTTCCCCAAAAGGTATTCCCACCCAGGATGGATCGCAATTTCGACCTCACCTAAATCGTATCAACATCTTCAGTGGGACTCGAACTATGACAGTGCAGGGGATAGTCTTGACAAGTTAACCGCTACGCCACGTTGCCACAAGTGTCCTTGGATCACAGGGCAGATGTGCATTTCAAGAAAAGTAAAGCCTTTTCCAATATCTCATTCTGTGTCGGGATTGTCGATGAAGCAAAGTTGTATTTTCTGCAGCAATCGACTGCTCTACTTATATTTCGCTTTTTTTATAAAAATTTTTTCGAGATTACCAGTAGATTATGTAAGTGAATTCATGAAAATGTGACGTAGTGGCTAAACTGCCGGGATTATACGCTGGAGTGTCATGGTTAGAGTCCCGCTGCTGGTTTTGATAAGACCCCGGCAATCCAGTTCTGTCTGGATGAGAATTCCTCTTGAAAAAACAAAGCTATGCGAACGAAATAAGGTGAATACACTTCATATATAAACAATTGCTTCTTTTTGAAGGTATGCAAAACATGCTTGAATGCCAATATTCTGGCCCTTGAGTTGACGTATTCATAGACCAAGCCTTGTTGGATCACCAAGCGATGCATAACTAATCTGTTAAGGATGGAATACAAACTAACGGCCTCGTAGGCATGTCTCCGGCAAGACGAAGTGGATCTCCAAGAGACGTTTATGGCAGACGATGTATCCGTTTCAGCCTGACCACAGACTAGCCAGCCTATAGTGATGGACACTGAGTGATAAAGATAATTCGGTCTTGACAATAGGGTACATCAAACAAGAGTACTTTACTTTTTCAGCCTTTTCTTTTGCTGGGACCCAAATAAAGACTATACGAAGATGATGTGGCCTCTGTTTTGGTCGCAGTCTCCTTTCGTTGTATAGAAGTGGTTTGGCCTTGTTTTCGCAACTTTGACGTGTTGTCAGGGCGACAACTTGTTCGAAGTTCCCTAGCATAGTATCCGTGATAATTCCCAGAGTCGGACCGTGGACTTGTACATTCCCACACGTTTTGGCGGCATCGTAGTGAGCATCGTCTATCATTTGATCTACTTCTGTCAATAGATTGTGGTATCTCTCCTCTTTCTGTTCTGACATATCTACCGACCTCCTATCCCGGCACAAGCGTTAGGCAGAAGTTGGCCAATGGATTGATTTCACTTGTCTCTTTGATGAATTGTAGTTTGGTGCCATGAATGGCAAGACTAACTGACGATGCTGACTAAGATGTCGGCGAGACGTCTGGTAATGTGGCAAATCCATGGCCAGAAACGGGAAATTATTCTAACTACTAAGGCAGAGGACTTGGGACAAGGTGTATTCATCTAGGCCGCCCTGACAAAGTGAACAAATAGTGAAAACGAGACAAAATCAAGATCAAATGGTGCTTTCAATCAAGCCCACCGGGCAGCTACAACTGGCCACAGATAAAGAAGCCTTACTCTGCCTAATCGCGATAGTAGTTTGGGTGTAATCCCATAGAAGCATTACAGCTCTACAAGTTCACAGGCCAATTTAGTTTGTTTTGGTACTGCAAAGTCCGTTAGCCGACGATAGAATGAGACAGCCTGTCCAATGGGTTCTGGCACTATTAATATATACATATATATTTATATGACTTTTCTTTTCTTGCTATGCTTAGATGGACAGAAAAAAGAGGGTATGTTGGGCATCATAGCGTGTAGGAGCTCCAGTAGGGCTAGGGAGTCAAGGGGCAAAATGCCAATTTGACCGGCACCGAGGCCTCTTCATTCGGATCGACTGCCACCTTGCGCCCTGGTGATTGTCGAGACGAGTCTTATGGGGATGCGGTGGACGTCGACTAATATGCATTCGATAGTCAGCTTTCTAAAGGAATCATCGTTTTATGACTGGATTTTTTCCTTTTCAGACCAGCTACCAGGTCTGCCATGTAGCCACTTACCTTACAGGTTGCCAATATGGTTCAGGAGACAGCGACTTAACTTGTTCAACGCGTCGAGCCAACCGTTTTGTGGTAGTAAGAGAGAAAGAAAAAAGAATGAGAGGTAGAAAGAAAGAAATAGGGAGAAAAATAGGTGTGAATCATGTGTACTGTCAGCAGAAGTTAGTGCTTCTGGGACAGGACAGACGTAATAAATAGCTCGAACTCCGACTTGCACATGTGGGCCGTTGCTGTACTGCTATACTGTTGGGCAAGTTTGGAAGAAACTGAGAACTACTAGCTTAAACCACAGCCTACCAGTCGAAGATGAGCGAGGCACTTATCAGTTGCCCTGAGGCCAACCAATGCTGTTTTTCCTACAAGAGCACCAAATGAGATCGACGACGGCCGAGTGCTGATGAACCCTGGGCCAAGATGAAACTGCAAGTCATCACGAATGAGAGTCTTCTTGGACATTCCAAAGGCCATTTGGGTCGTCTCTACCATTCATCTGGCATAGATTAACTAGCAAAGTATGAATGACACGTCAACAAATGACAACCTTCCACTATTAGTGGATGACAGTTAATTATTTTGAAATAACTAGCATAATATTCGAATAAACGGTGAGCCGATTATCTATTCGCCAATCCATCCGTCTTGAATCCAAGGGAATCCTCCTTCAGTTTCCAGTTGGACTAACTCACGAGCCACAATAGATCACCAAGGGGGTCTTGGAAACCCAGACTTTTCTCTTTGACTAAAAAAAATCATGGTGATTTGGCATTACATGAAGCATGTTAAGGCTTGAAGACTAAGTCTACAAAAAAAGCTGTTCTGCCTGTATTAAGAGTGTTTATAGGGTCGAAATATTGCAATCTTCCTAATGAAGATCCACACTTGTGTACAAGTCGCCAGTTTATTGCACTTGAGTATTGTAGTTTCGTATACATGAGATGCTTGAAGCGATTTAGCTATGAGGAAAAAAGTACCATTGCTTA